ATTTGCTTACCCCATGCCAGTTGTAGAAGTTGTACAAAAAGATTTAGGTTACCTGGTGATTTCTACAATGAACACTATGAGTTTTTTAATTAGGAAAAATGATCTGCCAACACACACACACACACACACACACACACACACACACACACAAGACAAATAGACATTGAGAAAGAGATCGATCAAGAAAAAAATACAGAGAGAGAAATTTCATGGGCAGGAGACACAGCCTGGCCATTCTCTGCTATCTAAGTGGCTTGAAGTAATAACCTGTAATCACGGTGAGGTATAGCACAAGCAATACTGTAATTTACCTTTCATCATAATTTTGTGTTCAGCGGTTCAGACTGAAAAATGGTAACTGTTTTTTGTCCTCTGCATTCTCAATACAACTTAGCTAAAAAGAGAAGAATCTGTAAGAATCAAGAAGGAAGCTGAAGAAGCTGAACTTCAAAAAATGAAAGCAATTCAGAGAGAGAAGGTAAGAGAGTGGAGATGATGGCTAGCCAGCGTTTACCGAGAGCTTCCCGGGTGCCAAGTGTCTTCTAGACACTGTCCATCTATTAACTCATTTAATCCTCACAGTAACTCTATGAAGTGTGTATTATCTTTATTACTCAATTTGACAAATGAGGAAACTGACTATAGAGAGGGTGGATAACTCGCCCAAGGGCCCACAGCCAGTAATTAGAAGAACTGATTTATCTCCAGGCAGTCTAGCTCCAGAGCTAGGTTCTTAGTCATCACACAGTCTCACCTTTGGGGTGGGTGATCAAAATAGTAACTGTATATTTGGCCAGAAGACAAAACAGCTGGTAACAGCAGCAAACACTGCCATACTTATTTCCACACATGCCTCTCTTACTGATAAAAGAGAAAATCCGAGTTTGCATTACACTATTAGGGATATGATCTATTCTAAACCTCACAGTGGTGTTTTAGTTTTGATACTCTTTCTGGGGCTTGGAGGGGGAAATTTCTTAAATGCTTATCTGCTAAGGCATGAGGAAGAGTGTAGAGTTGTTCTGC